TTTTGGTCAAAGTATATCTATTAATAAGTAGTCCGCTGCATTTTGCTTCCAAATTCTTAAAATATTCCATTTTTATTTAGAAATAGATGGTAATAAGTTGTGTAGGCAAGAAAGAAACAAAATATTGTAAACAAACGAGTGTATAAAAAACATTGAACTGAAATAAAATTAAGTTAGGTAAAAATTTTGTTATTTTTATTTTGATAACAAAAATTTTTTTTTTCATATTTTACTTTTCATTTCATAAAAGTTAGGTAAAAACATTCGAATGTATGAAAGTAATAGTTATAAATTTAAAATTTCATACTTTGTTATACGGTACATACCTATTAAAGGTAGATTCAGAATATGATGTAGTAATATGGATCTAAACGCTTCCACAAATACTTGAATAGATGTACAAAAAAACGCTCTCAATGATCTTTCAATTACTGACTTATCAAAGTTATGCCGTTTTTGTTACATCGTATTTTTATTTTGAAGTTTCTTCGATTTATGTTTGAATGGAGTTTAGTCGTTCAATATTTTCAAACGTATCAATGTAAAATCAATTTATAATTTTAGTTTTTCTAAAAAATTGGTTTAAGACTGATATTTGAAACGATCTCATATGAGGTTTATGTGTTATAACGGTTGCATATATGCAGTTATAAGATTGGAATTGTTTCATCATTATTTGACTATAAATAATATTGTTTTCAGTGACAAAAAAAATCTAATAGAAAAAAAAAAGCACTATTTTACAATTATAAATTTAAATAGTGAAATATAGTGAATTTTTTTTTGTTACTATATTTCACTATTATTTTCATTATACGTAATAACTACAAGCAAACAAATTGTATGTAATTATTGAATAAAATAACACAAAAAGCTATATCAATACTTTTACGGTATCATTATCTCCATTTCCTAAATTAGATAAGACTAGATTACTGAAAAGAGACATGGGCAAAAGAATTCTTCCCCTCCGACCACCGCAGCTAACTATGGTTTATTGTAGCCCTCCCATATCCCACTTAAACTACCGTGGTTCCAAGCAAATACTTGAAGATATCCCTCAGTAAGTTGGACGAGAACTCCTAAATACTGAGAAAACCTTGCCTATCACCATCTGTACATCCCACAGCAGGACAGTCACTCAAAATCCGTATCCCGCAGAATCTACACAAAAACGAGTCCGGTTTTTCAGTTTGTGCAAGTGATGGATAAAGCCCAGTGAAGAAACCAGTAATAGCACGAAGACGATTTTGATCCACCTGGCTCTGGGAAGAACTTCCTTAAGTAAGATGGGAGGATCTTCATTTCTTACTTCATTAATTTCAAAATCCTACCATAATTCGTCTTCTGCACCTTCAAATTCTTCATCTTCCGATTCAATGGGCAAAAGGATTTTCAGAATCTTTATTTCATTTAAAAATACCGCTTTCCTGCTACTTTTCGATTAGAATTCATTTCAAGTCTGAGGAAAAAAAATTTCACATAAGTAAAGTAAGAAACAATGTGTCCTTTATCCAACATAATCTTCATATGACGTCGCACATTAATTGAAACAAAAAACTTGTGACATTATAAAAATTAATTTTTTTTTTGTATTGTACCTGAAATTTAAGCTTTTTATTATAACAAAAAATTCTTCTTTCGTTTAATAATAAAATTTTGACGCTAAAAAATTAAAACAAATTCAACACTTTTATAAAATCTCTAAATTGGCACATGTTATAAGAACTGACATGAAATTTTTGCAATAATTTTTATAATAACCAGAGCACTTAATAGAAAATAGAAAAAAATAAACAGAAAACTTAATACTTTAATATTAGAATCATTCCTGTTCAAAATTTTTAATTTTGAGACCCATAAATGTCATTCAAAAAATTTTTTTTGGAGTCTCATATGAGTTTTATGTGTTCGAGAGGGTTAAACAAGATTTTATGGACATAATGATAAAGTTTATCATGTTTTGAAATTTTGGGTAAGAGTGCTTCGTAACCCATCGCACAAGTTCTATTAGGCATCATAGCACCCGCGGTATACTAAAAATGGCTCTGCATGATAAATATATAAAGAAGCCACAAAGTTTAATTATATACTTAGATATGTATATTAATCAATTATAAGGTATATTTTGAAATATCAAAAAAACTATAATCAATCACTTATATATACAATAACTAAATAGAATACATATGCACAAATGTATGTATGTATGTATATATGATTCGCAAAAAAATTCATACTTCACTATTTTATTTTTACACACACATACACTCTTTTATACCTATTACATTAAAAATAAAGAAGTTCTAAAAAGGAAAGACAAAAATATTAAAAAAGTAATGTGTTTCACCGCAACCAGGTTTCTGAAATTTATTTTGACCATATTTTGAAAAGATTGTTAAGAGATCTAAATTTATTTAGTCAACTTAGTTCTTTAACTACTGCATAATGCTATTTTTATTTACACCGTTATTTACAGCGTCAAACAACATATACCTGCTACAGATTTAGCGGAACAATAGTTTTCTCAATATTTTCAAAAGTTCTATAATTTTAACTATAAAATACTAAAATAAAATTATAGTATTTTATAGAATACATACTATAATTTTATTCAAAATTATAATTTTTTTTTTACAAAACCACGTAAAGCTTTCGCGTAATTAAAAATTTTAAAGTAATTTAGGTATTAGGAATTTTATTTTAGGTTAGATAATTTTGCATAATGTAAGTTTTGTATTTAATATAATTTTACGTAAATACAGTATATTTTTAAATTTTATTATATAAAATTGACTAATTATTAAATAAAAACCCAAAACAGTTTTTTTTAATAAAAATAGGGCATCATTTTTTTTAATTGGAAGTATGTACATATATATGTATGTATGAGAGAAAATAAGAATAATGCATTTTTCGCATGTTTTAACACACATTTAACACGTTTTACCAGAAAATGAGAATTATGCATTTTTCGCATATTCAACACGTTTAACACGTCAATTAAGTAAAACAAGCCCCTGATGATTATACTATACAGCATAGTTCTGAAGTTATAAGCATTATGTACACAATTGTTTTTTAAAAGTCTGTACTTCGATAAAGACTACATACATATGTCTGCACCCCTGCCCTCCCCCATACAAACTTTCAATTGTACTTCGGAAAATATTTTCCTCTTATGGACCTGTTAGAGTATCCGTGACTTCAATAATGCGCTCACGCCGTAAATTTTACAAAGTATCAAGTTCCAAAAAGTTTAGTAAAAGCTCTTGACATTGTACACTTTTCTTAAATGCGTTTTATACGTAGTGGAGTAAAGACGTAAATAAAAGTAAATCGGGTATCGAAAAAATCGAGCACGCTTTCCTTATACCTTGTTATATAAATTTTGGAGAAATAACCGATAAAATAAACTAGCATATATTTTCAGCAATAAAGTTCTAGTTATCAATTTTTTTTTCCGAAAATTCTGCATAAAAATCCAATTTTTGTAATGATGCGGTAACGTTTTATAAAAATCAACATTTGAACAGAACTTTAAATTGAAATTTTCAAATAAACGTCAAAGTTGTATTGATATGGTAAAAATTGTATTCCAAAATGTACGAAAAGCTTCAGTAATTTTTTTACAATGTAAAGGTATTGAAAGTTCTGAGACGGTGCTACAACCGTATTAATACCGTACTTAAATCATTATTGATTATTTTTTAAAGCATTATTGAAGTCACGGTTATGTTTGGCATTAGTATAATTTATTTTAAATTTTTAAATAAAGTATGAAATAAAGTATGAATTTTAAAAATAAACATATGCAAAACATATGTAAATGGGTTTAAATGCAATTAAACCCATTTAGCTTCGTAAAGTATATAACGTATTATAATGTATGTGTTGCTTTAGTTCAGGAAACTATTTTACTCGTTTACTTCGTTTCTATAGATAAATTGCTCAAATTTATCTATGTTTTATATGTACGACTTAACCCTGTATGTGAGAATTTTTGTTTTTGATTTCGGTCCCAAATAATTTTTTAAAAGTGCACATGTATTCATCTGCAATTATTCTTTTTGCATCTATTATTTTTAATTAAAAAATTTCGATTTTTATATTTTGTTTTTTTTATTAAGAATAAAATAGTCGGGAACGTTATAATACATATACTGGATTCAAGTTAAGTATTTTTAATTTACCTCTGTTACAGGAAATCAAAGTTATAAAAGAAAGGTCATTAAATTTATAACGAAATTAAATCTTAAAATATTAAAATTTTTTAAAAGCTCATAATTTGATAGTTCGTGAATTTCTTATTAAAATTTTCTTTTATTGATCGCGTTGTTAATGATTATTTTTAAATTAAAAAAATTATCTTCCTATATTCAAGAAATTCAAATTATATAAAGATACATGCATTTATGTATAAGTGTACCTTTCTATTGAAAATATTCAAATGTATATAGTGATTTCACAGCTTTTTTATTACCGTATCCTTAACTTTTTCGTTAAACAGTACATGAATATAATAAAAAATGCAAAATTTAAAAGTTTATAGCTGAATAAAGATCTGAACAAATATATTATATAAAAATTTATACGGTTCTTTAAAAAATTTTAAAATTGAATTCTTTGAATATCATAAACTTTAGTTTTAGCTGGAAAATTAAGTAATAAAAATTGTAAAAATAATAAATGAAGTAATAAGTATGTGATTTTGAAAACAGCTGTTGCTTTTTCAATAAATGGTTTTTTAAATAATAACAAATAAAAACTTGACAAAAGTCAGAAAAAGGAAATGGCAAAGTGAAGTACGTACATTATAATATAATGTGTTAATTTTTATATATATTGTGATATTTTTGTCTCTTATGGAATTTAATTCTGTTTTGAAAATCTAAACCTAACAATATAATTATGTATGAACTGTATATGCATATAATATGAATATATATAAATACATTTTTAAAGGTACGCCTTTATGCAAATATATATATGTACTCATATACGTGTCTGTTATATTATTCATTATTTTATTTTGAATTATATGTTAAATAAGCAATTAAAAATCAAGATAAAATTGAAACATTGATAATATGAATTAAAATAAATTTTAAATATAAAAGTTATTGAGGTGCAGATGTATTTCCCATATATATATTAGTTGAATCTACGGGTGACTGTGACGGAAATTGGGTTTGCTGTTGTTGTTGCCCATAAGATCTAGTTATATTAATTGGACAATCGTTTTTTTCTATTTCATGTTCATAAAATTCTTCTCCGGTAATTGTATTTTTTTCGGCCACAATGTCTTTTTGTTCGGGATGATTTCTTTTTAAATCACGATTATCTTCAATTTGTATTTCATCTATAGCAACTATTTTTTCGGATGGTCTAATTAATGAATGTGGCGACGGTGGTGGGGGTGGTATAAAACATTCTAATATTTGCTGATATATTGTTTGCACTTCTGCCATAGCACCCACTCCAGTGTCACCGCACACTAATTCTTTCGATATACTCGGTATTTCAATATACCCCCACTTTTTTAATTTTCCAATTTGCTCCGCTGTTACCGGATGATCATACATTTTAGTGTTCATTGCCGGACAGAATAATAATGGTTTAGTTGGTTCCCATGCACGTGCTGTGCACATCAATAAATTGTCACATATTCCCTGTAAGTATGAATGCAATAAAACAGAAAATATAAGAAAACCCTGGAAAACCTAAATTTTGTGTTATTACTACTTAAAATGAATTTTTACCGTGGCAAATTTTGCCAAAGAGTTGGCATCCATTGGTGCAATAACAAAAACATCTGCCCATTTACCCAAATCAATATGCAAAACTGGATCACCCCGTTTGCTCCACATTTTCCATTCGTCTTCATCATTGAAAATTTGTACTCCTAACGGGATGTCCTTTGAATCGAAAAAATGCTTAGCTCGTTCTGTTACTACTATTTTAATCTATAAACAAGAAAAAACAAAAAAAAATAGATATATTTAAAAAAAAAAATCTTTTCTCAATTACCACAAACTTGATGGGGCATTCACAATCTAGAAGCATTTTTATAAGTAATGGTAATTTAACGGTAGCAACACTACCCGTACATCCAATAATTATGTTTTTGTTAAGTTTCGTTGAATTATTCATTTTAAAATGTAAAATTACAAATTGTTTTTATATTTAAACTTTTACACACCAAATTAATTGTAAATTCCGTTTGTGACTGTAATGTTTTGTTCAGTTTTTCGGTTTCTTTGTTTTTTGAAATTTTTATTCTTAGTTATGCCACATATGTATATTTACAAATATGGGTATTATGTGTTTTGTTTTTTTTTAAACTATATTAATTTATGTGATATATTTTGTAATATATATATATATATATATATATATAGACAATATGTTTTTATGTATATATTGAAATTTTTCCAGTAATTTTTTAATGTACTTATTTTGTGTATTTTAAAATATTTAGTTTATTTTTATTGATTTTCAAATTTATTAACTTTACAAAAACAATAAATCAATACTTAATTTTGCAAATTTAATTTGAACTTTCATTTTTCAATGCAAAACCAAGTTTAGACCATTCTTCTGAAATAAAAAAAATAATTTAATGATTTTATTGAATCAACAATTACTCCTTTTAAAGAAATATAAACTAATGTTTTTAAGAAATTTTTTTTTTCAAAATACCTACAAATACATTTAAAATCTAAAGCAGAAATAAATATGTTAATACAAGTATCAAAGTTTATTTTACCTACCTACATATTTTATTATATTTCATTATACTCACATTAAAAATTTTTTTTATTTCGTAATTTCTTATAGTAATATATTAAAGTACATTAAAATATTTAGAAATGGTCATAAAATTTTTTTACAACGTACGTGTGAAGATAAATTAAGTAATTTGAAATCCATACATATAACGTAATTAGAAATTTGGAAAAATTGATCATGTAAACGTTCCAGTAAATCCTAAAAATACATATTGTTAACATTTTTTTATTATTGCTACTTGTAAAACCAATAAATTATTTTAAGCAATTAAATACCGATAATTGATTAAATTTTTTCCACAAGCAAGTAATGTAATTGGAACTATTTGCTTTGTCGCATCTGTTCTTCCAAAAAAATAAATTTAAATAAAAATTAAAACTAAATTTATTCAAAATTTTAATTTTTTGCTGCACAGGTCCCTATCTTACTAGTTGAGAAACGAATTTCTCTTCTCTTTTTTTTTCAATTTAACCTTGTCAGGAAATTACATTGGGTGATATTTAATAAAAAGTCAAAAAAAAAAAAAACAAAAATAATAATGCATACTTCTACGAATATGCACTTATGCATACAAAAATGCAAAGCAGCTACATACTTATGTAATAGTACATATATATAAAATATATAGATTTATAAATTCGATATTTTAAAGTAAATTATATATGTATATATGAATGTAGGTATCTACTGTATTTACTAGCAATTCAACCAAATGTAAGGGATATATAAGAAAAAAAAAAGAAAAAAGGAACTTCAATGTCATCTTTGTATTTTTTTTCCGGACGAAAAGTTATTGATTTAATCTGGAAAATAAATATTAAGAAGATAGGAAAATACATACGTATATAATCATCAATTTGATTTTTTTTTATTTTAAGCTGTCACATACTTGTGTAACTAAATTTATTACTATATTTCTTGTACTCAACTACCTTTTTATTTCACTTATTGTTAGCAATCTCATTAGATTTTTATTCTATTAACTGCTTAATGTTAAAAAACGTACTTTGAACCGCTTAATTTTAATATTCAAAGAAAAAAAATTAATTTATTAAATTTCGGCCATGTCCTATAATTGAACAATACAGGAATTTATGTTTCACACGTCAATAGCTATGTGGGAGTTAAAAAAAAATAAAAAGTAAGAAAAAAGATTTTAAGTTAAGTATGTTGCATTTGTGCTAAAAAAAAGTAGTTCCCTTTCAAATTAAAAAAAACACTCACAATTTAGAAAGAAAAAAAACAATAAAATACGGTTATTCAACATTATTTAATTTTAGAGAGAGCTCACCTTTTGCCATTAATTCGTTTTCCATACGGCAATTTAAATAGTCTTTTGCTTCGAGTCGGCACTCAGAATTTTTATCGCTATTTTTTCGCAAACAACTCATATATTTTAACATATATTTTTTGCAAATATTTTCATGATCAAGCGGAAAGGACCCTTAAATATTTTAAAAATTACTTAGTCGTCTTTTCTTAGATATTTACATTTTTTATGAGAATATATATTAGATTAAGATTATAGAAATTATTAGCCGCGAATTATCATGAAAATATCCACGTTAATTAAAGACTATATTTTAATAGCAAAATTTTCACACCCAAGAAAAATCTAATTTGTGATTGCAAATGTGTATTAGATAAACCAAAATGCAATTTGGTCACTCAAGATGTTGTAAACCTTTTCTATATAAAGACGTCTATAATTGCAACTTTTAAAAAATAGCCTTTAACTTTACGTGTGGTGGGTTTAATATGAATGATTCATATAGCTTTACACGTAAAATATAAATGTATAGATATAGTAAGATGAACAAATTTTTTTCAGTTCTTACCTTTTTCTGGTGGTGTAGGAATAAATTTTTTTTGACTGAATGTATGTGATGCCATAACCTACAAGCACAAAAATGTTGAACATTAAAAATTTATTAACTGTTTAATTTCAAAGCCTTCATTTTATTGGAAAGCTAAAACTATTTTTGTATGAATAAAAATATGTAATTAAAAATAGGATATGATTTTAAAGCAAATTATTGAAAAAGAAAAGTTATCACAGCGAACTGGCAGAATAAAACGCCCGGTAGCTGACAGCATTAAAACTGTTGACAGCTGACAATGACAATTTCAAAATAGGAAGCGCCTTCTCGAAATATAATTTTCTTTGAGTTACATATTTGAACATCGTAATTTTGACGATTTTGTCGTCCATCTAGCGGCAATTTAGTGCAATTAGAACTGTCTGTAAATATTTTTTTTACATTTTTTTTTTTATTCACTAATACACCAACATAGAATTTAAAAAACCAATTTTGAATTGATATTTTCAATTCGATTCGATTGCAGTACACTGGGTATGTCAACTGCGAAGTAAGTTTAAATGTTGCTGTATTGAAAAATATTTTATCTTTAAATTCAACACAGAATTTAATTTTATATTTCTTATTGTAAATCTTAAGTGACATATCATTTCATTAGCATTTAAAATTATCAATTGGCTATAAAATTTGCAAACGAATTAATATCCTACGTGTTAAAGTCCAATAGAATATTTAAGTAAAATAAATAGTTAAATTTAAGTAAAATAACAAATTTTTTTATATTTTTATGTTTAAATATCACTGAAATCGAAAGTTTCGTTAATATAAAAATTGTAGAAAAAATTATATTTATAAGAATTTCGGAGAAAATATTTGCTTACATTTCGGAGGAGGATTTTCAGAAATCGGAATGTTGCAGTTTTCATTTTGAATTGCAACGTCAATTGCAATTTCTTCGCTTTCAATCGATATAAAAAAGATTTGAATTTTTTTTTTTCTACACACAGAACCAATTGCATTTGAGTAGCCTACACTTCGTTCGCGTGCGGGATAAGCATAATGCACGAAAAATGTACAATTGGCATTGGAAAAATACCTCTCACGGCCAGTGTTCCCACTCGGTAAAAACAAAATGTATCCAATTTCGAGAAAAAAATGTATCTAAAATGTACCCAACCTCTTAAAATGGTCTAAACTTAAATACTAAGTTGTCTTATTCTGTACAAATTAACCCATAATTGAAATTAATTTGCTTTATTCCACAACATAAGTTTTATTTTTTTTTTGTAAATTTTAGTGACGAAAGCGCATACAACTTTTATTACATTTTACATGTAAAAGTTAAGGAAAGAAAAAACATACGTTTATGCTCTGCAGTTGTTGGACTATGTTGTAAAGACAATTCACCATGAAAACGGACAAATTTTAAAAAATATGGACGGCCAATGCATTTTCTATAACACCTAGCTTACACTAAAATATTTCTGGTACGTTCTTGTATAAATGTTAGATTTTAATACAGGAATAGGCAGTTAATAAAGTATCTTTTTTACTTTCTTCTAAAAAAATCGGAAACCTGCTTAGAAAAGCCAGAAAATAACATTTTTTGAAACTAAATCAACAATCAGGATTAAATACCAGCATTTAAACTGTTTTGTAATATTTATTTAGTGTTTGAAAAAAAAATGTATCCATATTTTAGCAAAAATTTTCAAATGTTGCCAATTTTGACATTTTAGCAAATTTGAGTATCTTTGTATCCAAGCTCAAATTTAAAGCAAAAATGTATCCAAATGGATACAATTGTATCCAAGTGGGAACGCTGCTCACGGCACTAATTTGCACATTCTAAGAGTAACAATGAGCCTTATTCTAGTTGTCGCGTCACTTACGTGACATTTGTCGTTGTCGCTGTCACGTCACTTGAAATGTGGTATTCTAGTTGTCGAGTGACGTGACTGCGAGAAATAAACGAAAATGAAACGTTTCAAGTGAAATTGATACATTTTAAAAAGAAATTTTGGCGAGTAAAGTTCAAACTAAAAAAAAAAATTCGGTGTATATATTTATATTTTTAATCCGAGGGAAATAAAAAATGTCGTCATTTGCATTATGGTTTATGGATTCATCAGACTCCGAGAGTAATGAAATTGAAAAAAAAACAACAATTAAGGATCAAAAGATTTAAGATTAGGGACAACTCTATTGGATTTGCCAAATGGAGTGTTATTTACATTTACATTTACATTATAACCGGATGGGTTATCATAGCTTAAACGTTATGTTGATATGTATAACATTGCTTGTTAAATATTTGTAAATATTTTAATATAATGTGACTTAAAGGTTTGAAAATAAAAATTAAATTATATATTATATGGTTTAATTTATGTATTAAATTACAAAATTTATTATTTTTTATATTTTTATTATATTTTTATTAAATTGTTTTGTTTAAACTTACATTTTTGGTGTATCCATCTCGCTTGTCACTTGTAAAATACATTTCGACAAAAAACGTCGTTTTACTACGACATTTGTCGCTCTACAACGACAACTGGAATATACCTGAAACACATTTTCCCGCTATTCCACGACACGTGTCACTGTAATCGCCATTTAGAATATCAAATTCAAGTCGTGACGACAATTGTCGCTCTACTTCGACAACTAGAATAAGGCTCAATCTCTTTCAAAAATAAGGCCATTTTCATACAAAAAATAAAGCAGCACTCATGACATATCAAATATATGTACATTCACATCATAATATGAAAGAAAATACTGTGTGCACACATTTGATATTTACTCTTTAATTCTTTATCATAGTATGCCATTTTTTTCTTATGTTTAGTTTGGTTTACTTATTTTTTTTTAAATAAATATATTAAGGACTTATTTTGTTAAAAAGTATATCTATAAACAAGTAGTTCGACTCTCCGTTTACATCACACTAATGCAATCACTCACCATTTTTTGTATACAAAAAATTCCCTTAGTTCAAATAGTTAAGCAGTATACCTTCTTATTTTCATTTTTATACACATAAGAATTTTTGGGAGGGGGAAAGAATACGCAATGTCTATCTGTTTTTTTAATAATGTATTTTTAAAAGCGAGAATTATTTATTTTTTCGTATATACAGTATAGGAAAAAATATTAAGAATTTTAAAAGCTGGAGTTTTATTTCTGGAACTTATTCCAGTACAAGGTGGCGAATATGGTGTACCCACATTATAAAAGCGAAGCGATTTAAAAACAACATTTGACTATTAAAATAAAAAAAATTATAATTTACATATTATATGTATATTGTATTTAAAAAAAAATTTGTAATTAGTAATTGTCATCACATTTATTGTAATATAAACAAAAATTTTGTTTATTTTTATTTCATGTTGAAGAAGCTACGAATAAATTGCAAGTCTCATTGAACGAAGTGTCTACTTGGACGAAAAAGTGGAGGTTCAAACTCAACGAAGCTAAATCAGTACACGTTAACTAAACCAACAGAAGAGGCGATCCAATAGGTGTCTTACTTAATGTGGTAACAATTGCATACGCCAACGAAGCCAAATACCTAGGTATGACACTGGATGCTAAATTAAAGTGGAAAGAGCATGTTAAAAAAAAGAAAAATGAGCTGAACATCAAATTGATAAACATGTATTGGCTTCTTGGAAGACATTCTGAGCTTAATACACAGAACAAACTATTACTCTACAATCAGGTTCTTAAGCCTGTTTGGACTTACGGTATACAGCTTTTGGGCTGTACCAAAGAATCCAATTTGAAAATTATCCAAACTTTCCAAAACAAGGTCCTCCGAATCATTGTAAATGCACCATGGTACGGAAGTAATGATACTCTACATCGAGATCCAAACGTGCCGACAGTCAACGATGAAATAAAGAAATATGCAATCAATCATCAATCAAGATTACTCCAGCATGATAACCCAGAGATGCTGCAACTTTTAGATGTTGATCAAGTACATAGACGACTAAAAAGGGTCAGACCGCTTGAACTCATCGGCTAGACAAATATAATGTACAGTGGATGACAAACTCATCAGTGGATGATACACCCATAACCCCCATATTAAGCCAGAAAATTTGCTAGATAGGAATTTTTTTCTTAGTTGCAATATCGTTTAAATTTTTATTTCAATTTTGTATTAAAAATTTAAAACAAATATTTCTTATGAATATTTATTATAAATCACTTAATTTTTATGCCGCGTCTACATTACGACTTGACGTGAAATCAGCTCGAAATCAAACTGTGTTTTTACTATGTTAGTTTAAAAGCCCAAAAAACGACGTTTAGCTATTAAATTTGAAATCATTAACATTTCAATTCAAGTAAGCGTCTTGAATGAAGCCGGCTTCAGGTTAAGTAACGTTTATATAGATAATAATAAGCTTTAAGCAGCCATATAAACGAAGTAAATATATATTACTACATCATATTGTGTATCTACCTTGAATAGGTAAGTGCTGTATAACAAGGTATGAAATTTTAAATTTACAACTATTACTTTCATACATTCGAATGTTTTTACCTAACTTTTATGAAATGAAAAAAAATTTTTGTTGTTATCCAAATAAAAATAACAAAATTTGTACCTAATTTAATTTAATTTTATTTCAGTTCAATGTTTTTGATACACTCGCTTACAATATTTTTCTTTCTTGCCTACAAAACTCTTTTTCCATCTATTTCTAAATTAAAATGGAATATTTTCAGAATTTGGAAGCAAAATGCAAACGAAAACTAACGGAATGGAACGAGTCGAATTACTTATTAGTAGATATATTTTGTTAATAACTAGCACTTTATTGCTGAAAATATATGCTTGTTTATTTAATTAGTTTTTTTTGGCAATATTTATATGACATGTATAAGAAAAGCGTGCTCGATATTTTCCCTATCCGATTTACTTTTATTTTACATACCCACTAGAATGTCAAGATTTTTTACTACACTTTTTGGAATGTGATACTTTGTAAAGTGAGCGCATTATTGAAATTACAGTTCTGTGTACAATTTGTAATATGATATGCATACTCAAAATGTTGGGAGAATTGAGAATAAAATTTTTTTGTTTTCTTTTTTTATGTTATTCTTTCAAAGATAAAGAATATAAGCGAAAATACT